CGACAGCAATTAGTGTCTGTTTTTTTTTGATATAGAGAAGGCTCATGATCGCTGTTGGCGTTATGGGATTTTCCATGATCTGGACCATTTCGGATTGCGGGGTAATTTGCCAATTTTCATAAAAAACTTCTTAGAGAATCGCAGATTCCATGTCAGGATGGGCAACATTTTATCTAGGCTTTTCACGTAACAAGAAGGTGTTTATCAAGGCTCTATTTTGAGTGTGACTCTGTTCCTAATTAAAATTAATAGCATAGCTAACTGTCTTCCCCCTAGTGTGAAACACTTTTTGTATGTGGATGACTTTCAGATCTCCTGCCAGTGTAGTAATATGAGTGTCATCAAGAGACAACTGCAAACCTTCCTAAACCGCATAGACCAATGGTTTTAGTTTTAACACGGAGAAGACCTTGTGCGTCCACTTTTGTCGAAGGCGTGGTTTGCACCTTGATCCTGAAATCCATCTAAATGGGGTGAAAATCTCAATGGTCAATGAGGCGAAGTTTTTGGAGGTATATTTGATTCTAAACTGACAGTTTTACTGAACTTGCACAATTTGAAGAGTAGATGACTAAAATCTCTGAACCATCTAAAGGTATTATGCTGCTTATTTTGGGGAGCAGACAAAGTTTTATGCTCAGGATTTACAGGGCCCTTGTCTGCTCAAAGCTGGACTACGGATGCATTGTTTATGGTTCTGTGCGCGAATCTAGTCTTTGAATGCTGGATCCAATCCACCTTCAAGCACTGAGTTTGTGCACTGGTGCATTTTGAACTTTTTCTGTTCAAAGTTTGTATATGGATGCTTATGAGCCTCCACTGTCTCTCAGGAGAGAACAGTTGTCTCTGTTTTATTATATAAAACAGAAATCTTGTACTAAACCTTCAGTTGATGGTACAGTATCAGATACTCTGCTAAAAAGGTTATTTGAAGCTCATTGAAGTAGTGTTCTTATATTCAACATAAGAATGGAGAATGTAAGCAGCATGATTGACCTTTACACAAGCAACATCTCACAGGTTGAGGTTAATAGTATTCCATTTTGGTTAATTCCAGCAATAGACGTTAATTTAAGCTTAAATCAGTTTCCCAAAGAAACCTTGCCAGACTGTGTCTATAGACAGCACTTCGCACAAATTTAACATTGTGACAGGAATTTAATACACATTTATACTGATGGATCTAAATCAGATAACTATGTTGGCTTAGCCTTCGTTTGTCAAAATGAAATTGTGGCAGAACAAATAGCATCGAACTTTTTCATTTTAACTGCGGAGTTGCAGGCTATTTATTTAGTCTTAAAGTATATAAATAGGAAAGGTTATCATAGCTGTGTGATTTACACTGACTGAGTTAGCGCTTGGATGACCAGGGTCCCGATCTGTCGTTACCCCCCCTTTATCATAAAGATTACAGGGTATCGATTAATCGTTACCCTAATAAAGATTGGTTCTAATGAAAATTTTTGGCAACAGATGTTACCACTTGACGGTAGTGTGTTGTCTACCATCTGTTTCACATATTTGTGTCCAGGTGGTGTTTTGTCGACTGAAAAATTTTTATTTAGCGATTTTTTTTTAATTTAAATATTTTTTCATTTATTTTATAGCATATTTACGTAATAATATTACTAAAATACGTTTATTCAGTTATAATAAATGAATGTATGATAAATATTTAAATTGTGACCTTCTATTTTTATATTTATAAATTTTTTTAATTTTTTATTGTTTAATTAAATTAAAAATATTAGCCCATCGTAAATGTATTACTAGTAGTCTATATATTTATCACAATAATTTATATTATTGTTCAAAATAAAATGAATAAAGAATATTAGTTCGTAATACGCATCGATAGCAAAACAAAGGTTAGATTCCAAACAAAGGATATATTATAATCTGTGATAATTTTAAAACTAATAATCGTACATTCATAAATGTTATATCGAATTGTACAGAACGATATTTCAAGTCGTTCTGGCTTAGTGCCAAGAACAAACTACTTAACTGGAGTATGTGAATTTTACAAAAATGTTGCAAATTTTCACAGACAGATGTCAGGTCTGAAATATTTTAATTTTTTTTTTATTAAAGTTTATATTTAAATGTATTTAAAAATATCGGATTTATAACTACAGATATTAATAAATGTAACATAATTTTTGTCATATGAATAAAACAATAAATAGATTTTTGGTGAATTTTTAAAGTAATAAAACATGTCTGACCTTGTTAGATTTATACTGCCCTTGGTCATTTTAAACAATAAACGTAAACAGGGGGCGGGGTTAACCCGGTAGTCCAAACGTTAATGAACTTCAGGCTTTGATATCGTGTGAACCTAGTTGTCACTTTATAGTTATTAAAATCTATAATCTGATTTGCCATCTTACTATGAGAAATTTTTCTGTAAAGTTTTGTTGTGTCCCAGGCCATGTAGGAATAAGAGGTAAGGAAGAAGCTGACACAGCTGCGAAGTCAGCTAGTTTTTCACAGCATACTGTGACCATAGGGTTGGCACCTCTTTGGCGCCCTGTCAGGATGACACCACCGAGTCTCTAGGGGACTCGGAAATCACGACGTTAAGTCTAAAGATTCGCGAGCGGTAGCGTGTGAGCGCTTGGATTCGGAGTAGAGGTGAGGAGAGAGACGAGGAAGTGACTCACTCGGACTCCATATTTTCTAACAAAAATTCCATTTTAATAATAAACAAAGAAAATACAGAGATATCGGGCATATTAGCGGACTTAATTATACTATTCCGTTCGAGAGAGAGAGTTTACAACCGAATCGCGGGTTGATAAATACCTTTCTTTTTCCTAGGTCGCAGATCTGTAGTATGATGACACTCTTGACTCCTCTGAAATGGTCTTTCCACTAGTTCTTGTCCGTTAATTGGATCTCGGAGGTGTGGAAGCACGGAAGTGGGGTGAGATTCTTAAGGAGACACGGTGTTACTTCTGTCAAGGTGTTATTTCGGAATTTTGGTGCACGGGTTTTATCCTGGGTCACGGTTTTAATCCTCGGATGACGACTTCTGTAGAGGGACTTCGGATGACGACTGACCTCGGGATCGTTTTCTTTTCTCTTTTTTTTTCCTCTTGGGTTTTTTCCATGAGGTCAGGTGATGACCTTTAAAGGTCGCACGTCCAATATGTCTTCTCCCTCAAAAGTTCCTGGTGACACATCCCTGACTAACTTGATCCGACTCAACAAGGAACAAACTCCGTGGGAAATAATTTTTATGGCTTTTAGCCTAACCCGATAAAATGCTCGAATTTAACCGATTAAATTTTCCAATAATTAAAATTTAAAATAATACTTTATTGTGGGTCTGTTCGTCCCTCACAATACAATGCGTATCGAAGGAGGTGATTTGAAGCTAGTAGTTAAAAAACGACTAGCAGAGAGATGGCAAAATATGTGGAATGCACAAATATACAATAAACTATACGAGATCAAACCTTTAATAGAAAATTGGACACATAATAGGCAGTATGATAGGAGATTTGAGGTTGTCCTTTATCGTCTGAGAATTGGACACACTCGACTGACTCATCAATGTGTCCAATTCGTCATCTCCCTTCACAAAGTAAGAAGGGAGATGACGAATTAGTATGTCAGTACTGCCACTGTAGTGTAAGTGTTAAACTCATATTTTGCAACTGTGTTGCTTTTGATCATTGTCGTAGACAGCATTTTGGAAATGCAAGGTTCAGAGACATTTTGGGCCAGAGGCCAAATCTGGACAATATAGTGGACTTTCTGAAAGTTATTAATATGTATAGAGAAATTTGATTATTTATTTATTTTACAGTATTATTTACTTTGTGTTGCTTATTTAAATTATTGAATATATTTTTTGTTGTTGTTTATTTATTTATTTATATTACCATTGGCTGTTTAATGGTTAAACTGTTATGTTTTGTCTATGTGTATATATGTGTTTTTCTATTTATTATGTATTTTCATTTGTACCATTTGTCATGGCACGGTATCGCCTGTATCGCTCTTGTGCCAATAAAAACCAACCAACCAACCAATCTAGTGTGTTGGATAAAATAATGTTTTCCTCAAGGATAACTTTAGACATAAAGAGGTATGGAACAAATTTTTGTGAACTCTCTTTTGGTTCTTCGCGTTTTAGGGATTCAGAATTTTCTCTCGATAATATTAATTATAATGTCTATGTAGATAGCTAATAAATTGTTGTTTTCTTCTTAAATTGGTGTTTTCTTTTACTCATATATCATCTGTCACTTTACCAACGGCATTCCTTTCTCCTACACTCGACTAGACCGGAAAAAATTAGTCCTGTTCCCTCGGGATAAAGTAAAAATTTAAGCCATCTCTGACAAGTGAGCAAGTCCCTTTGACTTGAAAGCCGATCCACGGAGGTACGACAGTCATATTTCCTCAGTTATTACAAAACATACTATTAATGCCACTTCATATTGCAACATGCTTAACATGCTTGAGAGAGATTTTTTTTTTGTTTTTTCATTCATTCATTTTATTAAAATAACATACGTTACATTTCCCGATTTTGCTGAGCATTATCAGGATTTAAAAACACTAAATAATTATGTCAATGAATACAGCATATTAATAAACATTAAGAGTAAAATAGTACAATGATGGGAGGGCAACAAGGATATTATACAGGCGTAATATATATTTATACAAGTAAAAATTATTTTTTTTTAATAAGATAGTGTAAATATACAGTAACAATTAAAAGTAATGAAGATAAATAAAATTAGAATCACAACAATTAAATGCAAGTTAACAAATTATAAAAAAAAAGGGAACAGCAGAAGTGCAAAAATATCATAGATGATACATATCATATAGAAATGAGTATATATACAAATTATGATATATAATAATAAGACAGTATAGTGTAAAGAAGTAACAATCATTTGCACCAAAATACTATGTTTCGGCCACAAGAAAATCCGCTAGTAGTTGAGCAATGGAAGTTGAACAATGTTCTCAACACCACTGAACTCCGCCAAGCATCTATGCATAATATTCCGACATAGTAAGATTCACCAGAAGTTGAAGGATTGTCTTCACGCTGCATCATTTATATTCACTGGAAGTTGAAGAAACTTCGTCCACACCACAATTATTTCAATAGGAAGAAAACCACTGTAAATCACAGAAATTTCAACCACCAGCTACAAACCGATAAACACTGAGACGATCATACCTAGACGATCACATCACAATGGCGCACCAGAATAGAACACATAATATAATACACAAGTACACCACAAAGCATGTATTGATGTAGAGTTGATGCAGAAAACAGTCCAGTAGAAAAATGTAAGTTCCTCCCAGTTTCAGTAAAATCAAGCAATTACAATAAATGTAATAACGTGTATTAAGTTCAAACACGAACTGTTGTAGCATGACAAAAATAGTTCCACCAGGTATTACCATTGAGAAACAGTGGCAGTGCGTCAAGTATATCTCCACGTGTAGAATCCACAGAATTACCCAGAGCGTCAGCCACAAAAAAATAAATAAAAAAATATAAAAAATGTACACAAAGATGCCAAGTATACTACTGCACCAACTAAATTCCAGCAAACACAATAACCACCAATATGCTTAAAGTGATACGACGTTAACACAGTGTGCAGTCCAATTAGTAGTATACATTCCCACTAGTCACAGTAAAGTCCAGAAGAAAGTGAAAAAGAATTTCTTCTTAAGTAACATTTGTTCTTTTGATGTGCAATTATGACCATAAGGTGCAAGACCAAAAGTGAATAGCCAGGAAACTATCATAATCTACAATCCTCTGCAGTCGAATATAAAACAAACCACAAGATCCCTAAGTTTAAGTGAGGAGATCGCCTCCAACCCCAGAAGATTTAAACAAGAATAGGGAAATGCAGCAAAGGATACGAACGAGGAATCAGATTAAGCCTTACCAAGTGTATACTATTAACAACGTGTGAATTTTCTAGAAAAGGACATTAAGAAATTGTTGTAACTCGAAAATACTTTTCAAATATCTGAACAAGTAAATTGTAAGTTTCCTTATCCGAAGTAAGGTCTTGAGCATCACATGGCCAAGAACGATTTTTACTGGTTAGAAGAGTGCGTAACTGATGTCTTTCAATCTCAGTTATGGGGCATTCAAAAATATAATGGAAACTACTGTCAATGGTGTTGCAAACAGGACATAGACTGTTATTACGCAAGGTAAAGCGAGCAAGATATGAATTAAAACGGCCATGACCGGTGTAAAATTGTATAGAATGATGAGTAACTTCAATCCAAGTGTTCTTCAAAAATTTCAATATATCAGGAAAAAACTGTTTCGTAACTGAGGTGTTGGCATCCCAACTATGCTGCCACTCCACAAGCAAATCGTTCCAAAGGACCTCTTTCAGCATTTTTGTTGAAATCATATTGTAACTGATAGAGATGTTCTGGTCAGCCGCCGCCATTTTAGCAAGTTGATCCGCCCGATCATTGCCGTAGTCATTACAATGTGATCTCGTCCAATTAAAATAATACTCATTATCAGACTCAATCAACAGTCTTTGAATACTAAAGACCAGAGGATGAACAGACTTCCTCCGAATCGTAGAGAGAGAAGATAGTGAATCGGTAATGATTGCAATTTTGGCATTATTGAGAGCCCGTTCACACCACTCGATTGCCTGTAAAATAGCATATAACTCTGCTTGAAAAATGCTACAAAGTGGACCAAGTTTAAAAACATTATAGTAAATTTCAATATTGTTGCGAAAAGCAACGAAACTGGCACCAACATGACAGTCACACTTCGAACCATCGGTAAAAATTTTAATGGCACAACTAGTAGAAGAAGCTTCGATAAATCTGATGTTAGTGTAGGGGCTAAAAGTGTCTTTATAAGGAATATTTTTTTCCCAGCTTTCCTCAGTGAAGGAGTTTGACATAGAGGTAAGATGATTACCACATTTGACTTTCCAAATTTTTTGTAAGTAGTTAATATATTTATCAATAGGCGGCTTGCGAGCAAGCACTTGCAAACTAGCATTAGCCGTAGTTCTGTATGCTTTGGTTATCATCAACAAAACTCTACGTTGTGCGGAGATCAATTTGCGTTTTTGATGTACCTTAACTGCGGCAGAGCCCCAAATGCCACAGCCATAAGTGAGAACGGGTAGAAAAATGCTATCATATATCATTCGCATAGCCAGACCACTAAGGCCCCAAGATGACCTGGCAACCTTGGCAAAAGCGTGCATAATATGCCCTGTGTGTTTAGTAATATAATGAATATGGTTATTCCAGGACAGCCGATGGTCTAACAATATGCCAAGATATTTAAGTTCTTTCACCACCTTTAAACTTTTACCGTTCATCCTAAGAGTTGGAACACGTGCATATAAGTTTCGTTGTCTTGGCCTATTAAAGACAATAGCTTTACTTTTATTCGCATTAAAGCAGAGTTTATTCGTTATGCCCCATTCATATATCATGTTCAATGCACGATTCTTTTTGTATTTTAAATCAGCACGTGACTGCCCACCAAAAAGAACGAAAACATCATCCGCATAGGCAATCGTGGCATCCTGCCCAAAGTCCTGGCAAAGAAATATATCAAAAAGTAAAATCCAAAGTAAAGGTCCGCAAACGGAGCCTTGTGGGCACCCTCTCAAGACTTTACGTTGGAAAGAAAGATGGCCCACAGAAAAAGTTGCAATTCTGTTTTCGAGATAGTCTTTAATAAGTTGGTATATGTTGCTGGGGCATTGTAAGGTCCTAAGTTGATGAAGGACCAATGGCCACCAAGCAGAGTCGAACGCTTCACTAATGTCAAGACTCAGGCCTAAAACATATTTGTTGTTTTCTAATAGGTTCCAAATTTTTCCAACAACCATTTCAATCGCATCAGTGGTAGACTTCTGATGCCTAAAGCCGTATTGAAAGTTATTGAGTTTACCTAATGATTCTAGGTGCCAAGAGAGGCGGTTAGTTAACAGTCTTTCCAAGATTTTACTTAGTATTGGCAATAAGGAGATAGGTCTGACATCATCAGTAAAAGATGATTTAGGTATGGGAACAATATGTGCAATCTTCCACGACTCTGGAAAAATACCAAATTGCAGGCACATGTTATAAAGCTGAAAGAGATGTGTAGGTATGACATTCCATAACATCTTTGCGATGTCAACCGTTAGACCATCAATACCAGGCGCCCTACCCTTCTTTAATTCATGAAAGGCTGAATCCACCTCGCTATAGGTGAAGGGAGGAGAATCCTCAGAAATGAACGGAAGAGACCAATCAGCACGCAAAGTCTTATGCCAGTCAGAATCATCATCAACAGAGTCATCAACACAGAATGTATCCAACAGAGTTTCAACAGTGTCAAATAGGGTAGTAGTGATGGCAGTTCCAGTATTGAAAGTGGTAAGGATAGAATTCTTTTTTAATTTCCCAGTGCACATTTTTGTAATATAACCCCAGGGATTATCTGACGCACGAGAACAAAAGTCTCTCCAGGACTGTAATTTGATATTAAGCATACGATCTTTGTAGATCCGTTGATGTCGTAAATACTCATCACGACGCCTTTCTCTTACCAATGGGTTACGGCAGCGTTTGTATTTACGGCGTAAGTGGATATTCATTTTACGAAGCGTGGTGAGCTCACCGTTCCACCAAGGAACCCGTCGACGCTTTGGAATGGTTTTAGGAATATAAGTATCACAAGCTAGATTAATATGGTAAATACAGTGATCAATAGCACATTTGGCATCTTCTTTAGTGTTACATACAGAGAGATCAATCACAGAGTGAAGATATTCGGAGATCTCAGACCAATTAGCGCGTGAAAGATTAAACCGCGCTCTATTTGCCAGGGGTAGGAAAGAAGCACTGCCATTGATTTTAAAAGTGATGTACGCATGATCAGAGAAGTTGTGCTTGTTCAAAACACGCCAATCAGCTATAGAGGTGAAGCAACAGCTGGAACATGTAGTAACATCAACCCAGGAAAAATATCGATCATTATTAAAAGTAGGGGGAGAATGAGGATCGTTTAAAATAAGTAAGTTATTTAAAGCTAGAAACTCCTCAAAGGCTTCGCCTCTATCATCGATCATATCACCACCCCAAGCCGGGGAGTGAGAATTAATATCTCCAGCAATAATGATATTACAAGAAGGATAAGATTCAATTACCCGCTGTAGACCAGAAAGTATAATACTTATGTTCTGTGGCCTGGGACAGTAAATATTAATAATAATGTATTTAATATCGCCAATATAAGTCTCAATACAAACCATATAATCCGTACTAAAAGAGGCTAAGTGCAAAATAGGGATGTGGCGATGTGGAACGATAGTCACAGCCCAAGGACTATTGTTAGTACCTTTAACTATAGAGCAGTAAGCTGGAATAGAGGCAGGTTGATTACGTAAACAATACGGTTCTTGAACCAACACTAAGTCATAGTTGTGTATTTCACTCGCTAAGAGAGAACTGGCAGCAATGCTCCCGTGTAAATTAACTTGCAAAACAGTAATACTATTTTTATAATTCTGACCCATAGTCAGTCCTATTTATCAGGTTAGCTTTTATACGTTGAAACACTTTACAAACAGGATCTCTAGCATTGTGCCTATGTTCCTCAAAGTGGTTGTGCCGGCAGTTGATACATGTAGGAGGCTCTCCAAGTTTAGGACAATCCTTAAATGCATGATTCCCAGAACACTGGCTGCAAATGTTATATTCCTCTGAACATTCCCTTGTGCTGTGCCCAAAGCGGCAGCATTTAAAACACTGCAGGACCGGGCAAAAATCCATGGCCCTGCAACGCGACCATCCAATATTTAATTTATCCAATCTTAATACCTGTGCACGCATGAATGGAGAAACCTCAATGACCCAATTTTGGTAGTCGCCTCCCCGCTTTCCAGTAGAAAATTTAAGGCGAAAATCCTGTTTAAAATCCTCTTCCGAATATAAAGAGTGGAAAGATTCATTTTGGTAATATATATTTCGAAGCAATTCTTCTTTAGTATCATGTTTAGGAATAGAAAAAATCATCAAATGAGGTCTCCGTTTTTTAGGCCGTTTAGTATTAACCTCAGGTATATGTTTCTTGACATAATTATCAAGAACATTAATGTCCTCACTTTTCTCGAGCTCAACAGCAATACCCCCATTTCCAATCCTACGAACTCTGTCAACACCAATCTTTATCCTCGATGGATTAACTCGTTCCTTAATAATTTTACATACATCATCACTATTACCACTGTCGCTAGCATTATAGATCAGAAGAACATTTTTAGTTGTGGGCACATGTTTTTGCTTAGTAGAGGCAGAACCCCTGGCCTTAAGTGCAGTACTATACAGCTTGGTAGTATTACTAACAGTACTTTTGTTGGTGTCAAGAGCAGTTAGGCGTTCAAGTACCTCATCCTGTTTAACAAGTATACTGTCATTTTTCAAATTATGATCATTCATTGTATCTATTTCCCCTGAGATTTTTTTTAGCATATTAAGAACAATGCTTTGTTCATAAATATTAATGACCCTATTAACACAATCCAGAATATATTCGGTATGTCTTACAGTGGAAAACTTTGAGTTAGCGTTTGAGAGAGATTATTAGAAGAAAATATCCTGGATTTTTAAGCTGAAATATAATATGCCATAACAATGCTAAACCTCATTTGGCACACTGGATTTACTGCAGACATTTTAATGGAACATTTTATCATCTTCCACACAGCCATTTCTGACTACACATTTTACTATTTTTGAAAGAACGTACTAAAAAAACCACTGATTACATAAGTGAGAGTTGTTGCTGGGTAGCTGCAGTACAAGGACAAGAATTTTTGAAACTAGGATAAGTTAAGTTCATTACGTAGAATAATTTCCTGATTTTGTACAGAAATAGCACATTGACATTAGATATGTTCTGTATTTTTCATTTTTGCAATAAAAATATTTATGTTAATTGCTTTGTATTATTTTACAAAGCTAATTTTATCACCCCATTTTTATAAACTTTTTTGATCAGTCCATGTAAATATTTAAATTTTGGAAAAGTTTCTTACTTTAAATTTAAAATAAAAATTATAATGTGCTATATTAATACTTAGGTTAATCTTTTTAATGATTAATAAGTGTGAGATCCACGTATTAAGGGATTAATTATTATAAAATATTATAACAAAATATTCTATTTCTTTGATAATTATTCATTAAAGGATGTTTGTGAATCGTTTCCGAAAAAGGGAGGAAACGAACTTCCTTTCTAAACTTTAAAACTTAACTCTCTGTCCTATGACGATAAGTCGGTTACTCAGCCGTCCCTATAAAAAGAGGTAGATTTTCTGACAGTTTGACAGGGCAGCATATAGCATTGGTGCACAAGAATAGTGACACAACACAAAGACAAGAATAAGCCTCTTAAAGGGTACGTTCGTAAACTCGAACTATTTAAACGAGAATGATGTCATTGTTATTCTCATATCGTGAGACTTTTTGACCAATTCGTTTATAACTAAATTATAAAATTAATTAATTATTTAAAAAATTATTAATAATAAAAATTTTCAAAAATAGGCATAAAGTACTTAAAATCAATCATTCACACTATTTTGTTGTCAAAGGATAACCTTGTATATGTATACATCTTATTATAGAAAATGCTACTTTTTGGAATTTTGTTTTTTATCAGATAAACTATCTGTTACCCTTATCGCGTACACCTAGGGGTACGCAATAGGTTGTTTAGAGGTACAGAAAAAAGTTAGTTATTATGGCAGAAAAAATAATATACAGTATTATGTATCACCAAACTAATAGTATTAAAAAATTATTAGGTAAAAAATGTTCCTTGCAACAATTACAACTTTATTATGCATTTTTTTCATTTAGTTTTTTTTTCTTTACTTTAAAGTTACAATATGTAAAATTAACAATACGGGTACTCACTAAATTTCTTAAATGGCGGGTACAATCTAGAAATATGACATGTCACGGGGTACACTAATGAAAAAAGGTTGGGAACCACTGAGATAAAGTATTAAATGTCCCTTTCAGCCATACCATTCATTTTTCTGTAGAATCCCTGTTTTTACTCTCAAATTTCAACTAGTCAATTCAACACAATTTTATTTAAAAAATTAATCTAGTATATCTACAGTTATTAAAAAAAAACTCACAGCCTGTTTTCCATATTCATCCTCCTTCTTTTACTAGCACTATTTTGGTGTGATCTTTTCCTTTTTCTATGTAAAAAACTAACAGTCAAAAATAAACATTTCTATTTTGTTAAAAAATAAAAATAAAAATTCTTACAAATCTCTTTCTTTCCATTTTGTAACTCCTAATTCACCAAAAAAAAGGTTGGGAACCACTGAGATAAAGTATTAAATGTCCCTTTCAGCCATACCATTCATTTTTCTGTAGAATCCCTGTTTTTACTCTCAAATTTCAACTAGTCAATTCAACACAATTTTATTTAAAAAATTAATCTAGTATATCTACAGTTATTAAAAAAAAACTCACAGCCTGTTTTCCATATTCATCCTCCTTCTTTTACTAGCACTTTTTTGGTGTGATCTTTTCCTTTTTCTATGTAAAAAACTAACAGTCAAAAATAAACATTTATATTTTGTTAAAAAATAAAAATAAAAATTCTTACAAATCTCTTTCTTTCCATTTTGTAACTCCTAATTCATCAAATAAAATTTTATGCAAAAATTTAG